AACCCATACAAAAAATTAAGCTAAATTTTCTAACTGCGATCGCTCCTCGGCAGCGAATGTCAATCCCTTCTGATAAAAAAACCATCGTTCGGCCGAAAATCACTTAAGTGTTTACAAAGCGCCAATTATATATACAATGATAAACTAAAGTATTGGCATGTAGATATAATGGGACTTTTGAAAAAAGTTGCTAGATCAATCAAATTTAAGCAAAATAGCCCAGTGAAAGTTAAATGCGTCAATACTTTTGTTTAGTGAAAATTAGTAGTTTTTTCATTTATAATTAGTATTAATTTAACATTAAAGGTAATAAAATGAATTGAAGTGAAAATAGTTCTCTGTCTAGCATTTTTTTTTTTCGGAATTAAAAATATTTTCATAAGTGGTGCTAAAGTTGAACTCTTTATTATACTTTAGTTCCTCGCTTTATAAAATTAAAATTCATTCCATTTTTTTGATAAAAATAAACTAAGTCTAACTAATTCATATTTCACAATTTGAATATGCAAGTTAACAATAATAATAATAATAGATACCCATCAGTAAATAGTTTTGTTCGGTGAGAAAATTAGGAAGAATTATATAAGTATATAACTTAACCTTTGTAACCGCTGAAGCGATTTTCGATCAAGCAAAATATCGTTAATACAAATTCCATTTAAAGCATTGCTCGACGTTCTCACAAAACGTATCCTCATCTGATTGAAGGTTCCCTTTTGGAATTTCTTCTAATTCGTATAACTTAAGTAAATTCCGGAAGTCAATTTGAGAACTCGGCCGCGGTAGCCGAGTGGTTAGCATTGCGTACTACCATTCTAAAGTTATAGAAAGTTATTTAAAAAAAAAATAGTTAAATTTTCTAATTGCAGGAGCCCCTCCGCAGGGAATGACCACTCCACTGCTACAACATTTTCGTTCAACAAGTGCCTTTGTTATTGTTGGAATCATTGATATTGTTCAGTTAATTTAAACAACATTACATTTAACCACTTATTTTGTTGGCATATAATTCATATTAAAGAATCAAAATTATTTTAATTTTAAATAAATTTTGTTTTGTTGACAAAAACTCAATCATATGATCAGCTGTTTTTCATACTTGCTAGTTTTCACTGGTTCCAATTTTCCAAACACAAATTTACAACTTTCTCTCAAAAACTAAACGTCAAAATTGAGAGAGTGCAATTTACTAATTTTACTGGGTTTCTGGATCAACGAACACGATTCAGTAAAATTCAGTAACATTATTTCTTTGTATGCTACGAATTAAGCATCTAATAGAGACTGAACCTCTATCCAGTCACATCAGAAAGGGAGTAATAGAGATAAAGGGCAAAGTCCAGCAGCATGGGCAACAACCGCTGGACAAGACGGCGTACAAACAGGCACAGGGTTGGTATTCACGCTAGCCCTGGTGAGAAGATTTTGGAGCAGCCCAGCTGTTGGGTGTTGCACTTAAATTATTATTTTCTGTTGAGATAAACGGGGTTAAGTCGATCCAGGAAATTAAGTTGACCACCCGTTCTGAGCCGGGCCGGATACAACATAATCCGTAAGGATCGCGAGCGAGACCACGGTGGGGGTTTAGCGTTCATTCTGCACAACGCCCTGCAGTATCGTCTTATCGATAGCGACATCGACCGCAGGGATACTACTCTAGAATGTCAGAGCATAGCTATCCGGTCAGGCGATGTCGAGCTCGAAATATTCAATATATACATCCCTCCCAGCAGGATACACCCCTGATATAGGTGTGCTACTCAGGGGCGAAAACCGTTTGGTTTTGGACGACTTTAACGCGCAGCACGATCTTTGGCATTCTAGTCAGTCAACTGACCGTAGAGGAATGGAGCTGGCTGAACAGATAGACGATTCGACATTCTGCACAATGAACGATAACACCCCCACCAGAGTTATGGGTAATTGCCAAAGCTCGCCAGACATAACAATTGCGAGTGCTGGTCTGATAAACAGTATAGTCTGGCGACCTATACTGATGTTAGCATCAGACCACTTGCCCATACAGATCTCGATAGACAGGCCTCCCGACTTTGTTTCCGCGGACCACCGGACACTTGTTAACTTTTAAAAAGCTCACGGAATTTACTGAGAACGCCTCTAGTGGTCTTCCCAATCCAACTGACGTCACCACTGGTGAACGTTTATTCCGCAGGGTTGTCGTGACCGCTGCCGCCCACTTCATCTCGGCAGGCCTAATTGCGGAAATCCGCCCAAATTTTCCGACAGAAGCGGCGGTATTAGCATCCAGGCGCGACACCCTCCGAAGCTCCGATCCCGGGAATCCCCTAATCAGGGATTTAAACGCGGAGATTCGAAGAGTAGTCAACATTCACAAGCGGAAAAAGTGGGAGGAGCACTTAAGGACCTGCAACCTCTCCTCTGGGGCTACCAAGCTCTGGGCTACAGTCAAGTCGCTGTCTAACCCGACGAGACGCGTTGACCGGGTGGAAAATTTATTCGGTGATCGCCTCGTCTGATTCGAAGAGATGCGCGAGCTTTTTTAGCCGACTTTTCAAACTGCATCCTTTAGACAAAGCGAAATGACGTGTAACCCACCGTATGCAGAAACTGCCAAACACCAGCAGGGAGGAGGTTCAGGGGGTCATCGGGAAGGCGAAAGCCTCCAAATCCATCGGCCCTGACATGCTGATGCTGAAACACCTTTGACCAGTGGGAGCATAATTTCTCACGAGGGTCCTCAATTTATCTCTGACCACCCTGAAGATACCCGATGTGTGGAAAATGGGTAGGGTGGTCCCGCTCACAAACCGGGGAAACCAGCCAACAAAGGAGAGTCTTATCGGTCGATAACTCTCCTCTCCCCAGTAGCGAAAACACTTGAGGCCTTACTGCTCCCGACTTTCATCTGCGTCCAGCAGCGCATCAGCATGGCTCCGGAAAAGTGCACAGTACCACACACCGCTGATCTCTCCCACTTCTTCACTGCAAGACAGCTAAGAATTCAACAGAAAAAATCCTCGGCTACCCTCTTCAGCAGCTGGACGAAGAAGTATAGGGTAGAACTAGATGTGAAGGTCAATGACACAAAAATTCCGACATTAAATAACCCCAAAATATTGGGAGTAACCCTAGAAAGCCTGCACTCCTTCACTCCGCATACGACCGCAATTGCCGCGAAACTCCAGAGCCTCAACAAAATTCTCGAAGCGCCGCCAGCACCTGAGGTAAAGACAAAGAAATTTTGCTGGCTACTTATAAAGCAATTGGTAGGCCAGTAGCAAACTATGCAGCACCGATCTGGACGCCGGGGACGAACGAGACGCAGAAAAAGAAGCTATAGGCTTGCCAAAACATAGCCCTCAGGACCGCGACAGGAAACCTCCTGATGTCGCCGGCGCATCACTTGCACAGGGAAGTATTTATGCTACGAGTTAAGGAGCATAATGCTTTGCTGTGCAAGCAGAAGCTGAACCTCCACCAAGGCACATCAGAAAGGAAGTACTAGACTTAAAGGACACAATCCAGCAACATGTACAACAACCGCTGGTCAGGATGGCGTACCGACAAGCACTGAACGCCATTACCCAGGAGTCAGTCAACACCTTCAAGGACTCCCTTCCAGTGAATGGCGTACTCGGAGAAAAACCACCACCTATAGCATACAACGAGCTCGAGCTGCCTCGAGACCTGTCACAACTTAGGTCTAGATCTTGTAGCAGGTTAGACTCCTACTAATCCAGACTATACCTCAGCATACCCAACGTATGCCCTGCATGTGGAGAGTCTCCGCACGACACTAACCACCTCTTCAACTGTCCACTCAAACCAACTCATCTAACCCCCCTCTCCCTCTGGTCCAACCCCGTCGAAACAGCTCGTTTCCTGGACCTACCATTAGATGAGCTCGGCGACTTAGACTGATCAAACCTGTGCCTGAACAGGGTTAGCGAACCGCTCCAACAACAACAACAGAGTTGTACTGTGTTATTAGTTCTGTTCGGTGACTAGAAGCGCGGTAACAATTTTTACTGAATTTTTCTGAATCTCGTTCGCTGAAGCAAAATCTCAGTAAAATTTGTAACGAGAGAGTGCAATTTTGCCTTTGGTTTGAACAGAGAGTTGGAAACTTAACTTAATGATATCAAGGATTCAATTGCATGGTTAAGGTACTCGTTTAAGGAGAATGTGGTGGCAACGGTGTAGTGGAGTGGAATCACTTGCACACCACCCAGCGATCGTTTAGGAATTGGAAGTTGGGAATGTTAAAGGCATTTAGAAGGAAAAAATTAAGCTCTTACATGGATTTTATTTAAGCACAAACGAATAAACTCTGTAATAATGCTGAATTTATATGGCCGGCTTACGCAGAAGAATTTCAAACTTATTTTCGTATTTCAGTCATCCTGAAAGCATGTAGTCATCATTGTTAAAATACAATAAATTTTGAATACAATTAACAAATTTAAAATACTGTATAATAGCCAATTTTATTAAAATACTCAAGAAAATTCTTATAAGAAATAAAAATAAACAATAAATAAACGAATTCAAATACAAGCACCAAAATCTGCTATACAACAGCTGGCTAATTTTGTACTGAATTCTGTTCGGTAAAAACTCAGCATTCCGTCAACGCTTTAATTAATTCCATTTTTTTGAATGTAATCCTCGGAATCCAACATAATCAACGTATGTCCCATATGCGATGAGATGTAGCAAGACACTAACATCCACCCAAATTCAACTCATCTAACCATCGCTATCCTCCGGTCCGGACCTCCATGACTAAGACTAATCTCGCCTGTTCCCAAACATATTAGGTGACCTACTTCAGCAAAAACATGAATCCCTTTTCCGATTCTCTTCCTTATAATACTAAGTTATTTATATTCGGTGTAGAATTTTACTTGTTAAAATTTTTTCCATCCCCCGCTATTGCGGAATATACAAGTATCCGCAAAAAAAATATTATTTTACTTTAACTTAGATACCCCTTAAATAAAGACTAAAACAATGCATTAAATCCGTCATTCATATTTTTAATGAAAATACCATACTAAGAAATTCTTCATAGTGAATTGTAATAATACCATCCATATCCGTGTCATGCTGTCTGAATGACGCTGTTAGAGTCTGAAATGTTTTATTCTTAGCTTAGATGAAATTATAGTTACACCCAAATGACTCACGTATAAAACTATGCAGCATTGAATGAAATCATCAAAGAGAATGGTTCCTCTACCGAATCTGTCGAACTTCCGTATTAGAATGTTTATAAGGCCGTCCGATAAGCGATATCCAAAGGCAGACAAGGCAGTTTTTAATTCTTCTTTGTCTATATTACCCGAATTATCACGATCAAATGACCGAAAGCAGTTCTGCCAGTCGGATACGTATTTCCAAAGTGCTCCAAAATCATGGAATGAAACTGTTCCCCGATTTTCCCGATCAAACATGCCAATCATTAAGCGCACCGTCTCTGGGTTAAATGGGCTCCACGTTCCATTAGAAAGTGCTACTTGCAGTTCATCCGCAGATATATGACCGCTGCGATCTTTGTCGACTCTTAAATATTTAAACCTGTTTATTGATAGCTCTTAATGGATGCCCGACCATATACCTTTGAAACACATCCCATAAGAATTGTTGATTCGGCGTAGTTGATTGAAAATTATGAGCCATTTTTATAAAGCACAACCTATTACTTTTATATGCATATGCAATGTTCAAAGAATTTTTAATAATACGAAATAAATTATGAATTTCCAAGTATACGATATTAAACCTACGGCGAATTCATTCTCAAATTACGCCACAAGCCCAACAAGAAAACAAATATGCATGTCATTAAGGTGAATTCACACAATATAATAGCGCGAATACAAAAACTTCAAGTATTTAGTTTTTGTAAAGCTTAGTTTCCAGCTCAAGAAAGCGAAAACTCAATACAAATAAAAAAAAACTCAAGAAAAGCTTAAGAAATTTTCTTTTGTTAAATATTCTTGAGACAGTATGCATATTTTATAAATATTTAATACGACAACGGTTTTGGGTAGAAAAACAAGCGAAAACCAGTCGAAAACCAACTTAATAAAAATCTTTGAATTATTTATTAAATAAACATTAAAATTTAAAAACTGATATCCTTTCGAAATTTCAAAGAAATTTCGAATTGTTATTTAAGATTTCATTGGATGCGGAAGCCATTCATTCTCTCCAAAAGCGAAAGTTAATGTTTCCTTTGCCTCACCCTCCTGAAAACAAATAAAAAAACTTAATCTAGTTAAATATTAATAAACTTAACCAACAAAAGGTAACAAACTTACAAATCTCTTTCGTTTGAAAAAAGACTTTTTGTTTGTTTACTTTTTAAGTAGTTTTAAATGTTTAACATTCACAGCGCAATATCACAAGTCAAACTTGCTTGCTTACTAATATTTTACGCAAAAGGAAAAGCATGTATAATTTCTTGAGCATTTTCTTACTGTCGAAATAACAAACTATTCTCTCTTTTACACTCCCGCCTTTCAATATTTCTAAAATAATAAAACTATGTGCGTGTAAAAGAAGGCACAGCTATTACATTTCATTAAACAAAAACTCTACACTTTCCAGAGTGTAATCTGATAACATATCTCAACCTTATCACCTTCATTATAGTGAATTTCAGAGGCATCTTCGGTTCACCCTAATATTTCTTGCATTAATTCAACTGTATCTGCAAACTCTATTATCTGGAAAATTGATAATTAGATGCACCTACACACAGGCATATATCATATATGTATCGTAGTAAAAACCCAAACATCCAATATTTATTCGTCTACAATTTAAGACGGCTGCAATCACTCAGAAAATGTAAATACAACGAGAAGGACCAGCGCAGAGAACTTATAATAATATTTTATATTATATTTTAAGTTCTCTGAATCAGTCTCAAAATAGCAGAATGAGTAAAATTATATGAAAACTGAGAAAATCGGTGTAAAATATGGTAAAACCTATGCAAGATAAATGTTAGCAAATGGTTGTTATCAAAATTTATTTAAACTTATGAATTTTTATTATTGGCTTTAATAGTTTGAAATTTTATTAAACAACTTCGAATTATAGAATTCATATATTATTTTTTATACCCATTTTTATATTTTACCTATATATTTTTTTAACGATTAGTGATAACTATGATGAATTAAAAATAAGAAACAATATCTTAATATTTAATTAAATTATATTAAATATTTTTCAGAGAACAATAATATTCTCTGCATTTATTTACATACATACCTAGTTATTGAGGCAATTATCAGAACAGTAAGAAAATCAAAATTCATCCACGCACGCAAATATATGTACATTTTTTACACATATATACGCACATGAATTCAAATTTACACGTTTGTTTACAAACAAAAGCTTACGCATCCATCAAAAAAAAAAATGCTACCCATTGCCATGACAATACTATTATAATGGCCGCGATTTGAAATTAAAAAAAAAACTAGCCTTGCACATCTCCCCTTGCGCGTCTATTATACAAACCAAAATACAAAAATTTTAAATTGAACAAATATGAACTTTCAATCGACAATTGTCAAACGCACTCACGATAGTGCGAACTTAGTTGTATACAATTAGCAAACGAATGTTTAATAAAGAATTGTCCATGAAACACGCAGCCATATTTTAGGCCTTCGTACAACCATCCCCTCCCCCTCCCCCCCTTAACGAACCTTTCTTTCACACTTCTTTTCATTTTCCTCTAATTATGTATATATGTATGTATGTAGGTATTAAAAATATTATATTTTAAGCGATTAATATTGTATATTATTATGAGTTTGTTTCTAATGTATCATACAAAATCCCTCCTCTTTTACGAGCTGCGGGGTTTATGGATCCAGCGTAAGAGTACCTTATTATATTTAAATATAATTTTTTGAATTAAATTTATGTTTAACACTTCGATACAGCCCAACATTTAATAGAGACTTAAAATCGTTGAGAAATTACGCATGCAAAAGTAATGCAGTTGGATGTACTTTGTATGGTTAAAATAATATAGGAATATTCGCGATAAACAGAGTTCACTGTACCTGAATTCTTCTGTGACAAGAGCAAATAACTATCGATAGAATGATATTATTATTATTAAACATTCTCTGGTACAAACAATTCAGAAGGAGTACAAAGTAAACTAGTATGAGATGCCCGCTGGTAGAGTAATGCCAAATTTCAACACTCCTCAATGCTGCGTAAACTTAACATGCTTGATTTTTGCCAAATTCTTGGTATATATATCGGCTGTCATCTGATCAGTAGGACAATATGATAATTCAATTTTTCCATCATTTACAAGTCCTCATATGTGATGATACCGAACGTCAATGTGCTTCGCACAATTGTGATACATAGGATTCGTTGCCAACTTCTGCGCACCTTGGTTATCAATTTGCAAATTTATTGGATCACCTTTCCAAAAACCGATTTCTTTCAACAATCGTTGCAAATATACAGCTTCATTGGCTGCATTCGATGCTGCCATATATTATTCTTTTGCGCTACTCAAAGCGATAGTGTTTTGCTTCTTACCATTTCCCCAGTCTGCATCTACAAAACCTTCAACGCGCTTGCTTGATGTACGATACGAAAGTTTTAAATCAACAGTTCCATTCAAGTACCTCAGAATATGTTTTGCAGCAGTCATATGCTCAATAGGTGGACATGTATTTCTTTGTGACATCTTCGATACAGAATGTAGGATGTCTGATCTATTGTAGTAGTTATACTCAAATACATCAACGCTCCTATCAGTGTTTGATACTGCGTAACATCTGCTTTGGTGCAATCTTTTTTACACGCAACTTGATATCCATCTTACAAAGGAATAGCTACGCTCTCAATGTCATATCACCAACTTCATCTCGTTCGATCTCTGTTCCGATAAAATGTTGTTATACACTCTCATCAAGTGTACAAATCTTAAAAAACTAAATTACAAACAACCATGATAGCTCGAGTTATCTAACTCTGAGCCCTTTACAAACTCCGGCGCTCTCCTTAGAAGGCGGAAACATCTCTTCGCTGCAGGCGGGAATTTCTCGGTGGGTTGCATAAAGCATTAGCTAGTGGATTTTGACGATTTCTCAGCTTTGTGAAGTACTCCGTCCTGCTTCTTTCAATTTCAGGCTTAACCAGTAAAATACCAAGGTCTTTATGAATATTTACGTTACGAACGTACCATGATGCGCCAGTTAGTGCTCTTAATATTTTGGACTGGAACCTCTAAATTTTATCAATATTAGTTGCACAGGTCCAAATTGGTTTTAATACTGCGTTGTAAATAAGGTCTTTGTAATCTAGTTTTAGACCGGAGTTTTTATTTAAAAGCCAATTTAAACTAGCTGCTTTTAATTTCATGTGTAGTATTTTCGCCTCTATGATCTCTTCCAAGTGAGACGTCTATCTAAGTGTGTACCGAGATATGTAACATCATTAACTTGGGGAATATTTATACCATTTAAGCGAATTGCAGGCCATGATTGCGGTCTTAAAGAAAATGTAACGTGTTTACACTTTTGATCATTAACTTTAATTCTCCAGTAATCTTTTTGCTGCTCTTTTAGGGTATTTATCCCGGTTTAATAGAATGTCTGCAGTATATATGATATATGAATATAGACTCGAGGACGCTACCCTGCGGAACACCAGGTTTTACCGGATACTCCTCACTGATAAATTCAGATTGTTTAATCGTAAATTATTTGTTATTCAGATATGACTCAAGTATCATAAAAAAATTGAACAGGCAGATCTTTATGTATTTTATACAGTAAAGCTTTAGGCCAGACTTTGTCGAACGCTTGTGTTACGTCAAGAAAGATTGCACAACAGTACTCCTTGAGCACGAATGCCTTTCTGATTTCATTGGTTATTCGGTTAACTTGCTCAATAGTACTATGCTTTTCTCGAAATCCGAATTGGTGATCTGGTATCACATTGTTACGGTGGAGAAAAGGAGATATTTTTGATAGCAGAATTTTTTCTAATAATTCGGAAAGACTGGGTAGTAGGCTTATAGGTCTGTAAGAAGCCGCCTGAGTGTGATCTTTGCCTGGTTTGGCTATCATTAATATCTGCGACTTTTCCCACGCGTTTGGAAAGTGATTTAGTTTTAGAATGGCATTAAAGAGTTCAGAGAGCAATGCTTGTGCAACTCTTGGTAGCTCTATTAACATTTTTGATGTAATGAGGTCGTGGCCTGGAGATTTCTTTGGATTCAGTTTCTATATCGCGTTTACCACTTCTAGGCTTGATATTTTAATTGCCACCTGATTTTCCTGGCCGTTAACAGCAAATTATTAGTTGCGTCATTTGGCTGGAATACATTACTCAAATGCTTTGCAAAGTAGTTTGCCTTTTCAACGTTACAACGTGTCCAGTTACCATTTGGTTCCCTGATTGGTAAATTCATTTCTATTGCAGGCTTAAATTTCTTTTGTGATTTCCAGAGATATAACCATATATGTCTCGATTTATCATCAATTAGTGTCAAAAAAAATCTTGCGCCTCTAACAGACTTAACCAGAGAACTTAGAATAACGAGAAGGTGCAACTGACCAGAGAACTTAGAATAATAAGTTATTATAAGGTCTCTGGTTATCTGCGTGCGTACGTACTACATGCATTTTTGGTGTCATATTCGTGCCAGTTCTTTTCTAAAGAGCCAATTTTTTTTAGATTATTGGTTTATGTTTGCCAATATTTATTGTTATTATTTTAATAACAATAAATAATAAAAAATATAACATATAAAAAAAATACGTGTATATAACATTAAAAAATTGGTTTAATTTCTTTTGCCAATATGAATATCACTTTTTCCTTACGTTATTCCTAGTGGCCAATTTTAACAGAGAGAAAAATCTAGCTTTCTTCATAGCTTGATGTTGATAGTAAAAAGTTACATATTCAACTGAAATACATGTTTAACACCGAGAAAATAAAATTTTGCATACCAAATGGAAAATCATATCTAGTCAGTATGACGTCGTCCTTGATATGTGGATGGATATTGTCAACCGTAAATGAGGAAGTAAAAGCGAAGCGAAAACCACAAAAAAATTTCAGATTTCAAAATTTTATTTATAATGTAGATATATTTCAATTGTTTAACACTTATCCTTTAAGAACTTACAAACTCTGGCAGTATTACGAAAGTAATTGGTTTCATTTCATTATCGTTTATTATACTAAAATAATATAAAACCGTCATTCTTTAGTTTTATCATTATAGCCTCTTATATGATATTTTCCTAATTACAATACTTGCAAATAATCTATTATGTATCTTTTTGGTATCTTCCAAATATTTTTTCCGCTATTAACAGTGTCTCTTTAGATAACATTCCACAGTTTGTTTCCTTCACCTGATTTTCGTTTAGCGTCGCTTTCAATGGTATTAAAAAATCGAAGTATGGATTAGTACCAATTTTATAATTCTCTACTGCATTATATACGGCTTTGAAAAGTGGTTGCTTATTGGAATGAAAGTAACCTCTATTACCATGCAGTATTTGTATCCCATCCATGGTTACATTACACAGATTTATATACATACAGTGATCCGGTCGGTAATTATACTGGCACGGTAAAAGCAAAAGTGCTTCTGAAATTTTCAAAATTAATATATTTATTGATTTAAAGCCATACATTTTATTATACCTGGATTGTAGTAAAAAAACACATTTATGATATCTTGATCACCCCAAGTTATTCGTAATTTATACTCATTATATATGGGAACAATGCGTGAAACCCATTTGTTAATTCGCATTCGTGTTAGGTTCATAAGCATTACACCAGAATTCACACCCGTCTTACCATAGTAAGGGTGGCGTGCGAATCGATTATACCATCCAATATTTTCATCTTCATGTTCCGCGGTCAGTGCCGCAAATTGTGTTGTATTAAACCGGTAAAAGTATTGCCAAATGTCTGATATGGGAGACAAGAAAATAACATCCGTATCAACATACAAAACGGAATCGACTTCCGGAAGTAACAACTGGAAAAAGATAAATTTTGGATGGTTTTGAATATAATTTATATCCGCATTTATGCTACATTTTCCAAAGTACTCTTAAATATACTATGATAATAACATATTTTGAAAGTAAAATGTATTGAAGTATAGTAAATTAGATCTATGAGAATAGCCTATAAAATTCAAATAGCTCGTGCTAAAGCATATATTGATATGCATATATATTCTCATACAGATGTTTGATTCGATGATATTTTTTCATAAGAAGCAAATATATAAATTCGTTAATATCGTCTTTCATGTTTAAGTTTCCAACAGGGAGGTTCGTTTCCAACAATAACCAAGTCTCCTTCGTTCTGAGACTATGGCATAGCAAATTTATTTTCGAATCGTATCTTCGTAAATTAGAAATTAAAACTTGCGGTCATTCATCTTTTTCTCTGGCATCGCTTATGCAATTACAGCAGAGTTAAAAACATTTCGTCAGTCGCGGATTCGTATATCAAATGAGTTTTCTGCAAAGTTCAACCACAGGGTTGAACACCGAATGTGCTCCATTAAAAAAAGTATATAACTGTTTTTTAAACAATGCATTTTATTTACTTTATACTAATGATAAAATTTTATTTCATTTTTTATAACTAAATATTTTTAAAGATGGTAGACCATAAGTGGGCTATTTGCTCAGCCACTCATATGGTACACCTAATTAGAAAGTTTTTCATTGCGGCCTGAAAGTTTGTTGTCGGGATTTACTTTACTATAGATTTAATGGAATGTTTTAAGTCAGTCCAAAGGAACGGAGACCAACGAAACTAACTACGAATTGCGACAGTAAGTTTCGAATCGAAACATTTGGATTCGCTTTAATTGACGTTGCAACAGCCGCGATTGTATCTTTAACGCCAACATAGAGATCTCGATGGTGCCGGGAAGTGTCGCCAAACTACCGCCTATATTCCCTTTCGACGGAAATGACAGACTGCAAATTATGGTACTTCCGCATTATTCAAATTCTCTTTTCGGTATCCCAAGCATTTACTCAAAAAAAAAAAAAAATTATAGTAATTTTTGATTAATAGTGAATTTATTACTAAAACTAAATGCAGGAAATATTATCCATATATATTATATTTATAAACAATTTTGCTTATAATAACTAAAGTAATAAAGTGAATGTTAGTTATTTTAAAAGAACCTGGTAACGACAGCTTTTCATTTCATGAACAAACGAAATAAAATTGATTTTGGTAACTGGCCGTAATTATGGTCTTTCGTAGCTTAGAAAAACTAATATGTGAAAACCTAATGCTGTAAACCGCTCTTGCGTCTGAGTAATATTGTATATAAATTAAAGTGCAAATGTACATATTCACAAAGTGTGCAGGGCCGTATAAAAAATAGATCTAATAAAAATTAAAAAAAAAACAGAGATAATATGTTTATACATATTTATAACACACTAGCAGTGCTATAGCATAGCTGCGAAATTTGTACTCAAAGACAAAGCCTATCTTCAAGACGGAGTACATATTTGCAAGACTTGCAAGACCCAATACGTGTGGCAAATGCTCTCTTGGATTCCCACTATGCACAATCGTTTATTGAATGATGTAGTTTCATTCTATTTTTGCAATCGGCAAAAATTCATCTATTTTACAAATATGAAGCCACTCGAACCATAAGTACGATTTGTCTGCCTATGTCATACGCAGATCCCACTCTCTAAGTTTGCGGTCTGTTTGATAAGTGGTTTACGCTATAAGCTGATCCATCAGCCATTCAGGACAATGCTTTTTATATATAGTTATTTAGAAAATAGGAGGAAAAAAAATTTAAATTAGGAATTAATTAACCTGAACTCGTGAATTAGCTTTAAGGGCTTATAACCCTAGTACGTTGCCAACATATCTATGAACATTCAAATTATCATAAAGATATACGAGTATAAATTATCTGTGATAAATGAAAAATAATAAAAGCAAATTCCCAGAAGAATGCTTTAAATGTGGCAACATCATATTTCTGTCACCAGGCATTCGTATACAATTGTTGTCAATTTGTTGCCGGGAGAATAAACCGGTTACATTTCTTTCAGTTATATATAATTGGAGCTTTCTAACCGCTGAAGCGAGTTTCGGTCGAGTTCCACTTCCAATTTCTTACGGAGGGACCTACAGTTTATACTAAGCCGCTGATGGTTTTATATATAAGAAGTACACTCGGAGGGGCGACCGCGATTAGAAAATTTTAACTAAATTTTTTACTAAAATTAATTTTCTATAACTTTTTGGAAGTTAGTACGATACCAGGATTTGAACAAGAACCTTCCGATCATAAAATAAATTCCGTAAAACCCTTTAAAAACTAAAGAAAAAAGAGAAAAGAGAAAACGCGGCGAAAATTTCACATTATTACTTATACATTGCTTAATACCTTAAATTCAGCCTTAGCCAAAAGTATTAGGCACCCCACCAAATACTGATTTTTTCGTTTTAACATGTGAATTAATGAAGTTTTATTAGTAATACAGTGAAAATACAATGAAATTTTTAGTAGAAACTATGGCTGTTAATACTTTAAGATGATCTTAACTAAGCTTACCTCGAAGTTTTATTCATCAGACCAAACGACCTTCGAACAATGTTCTTCCGTGATATGTTGGTATCGGCGATCTTATTCCAAACGATTTTTCCTATTCTTTTCTGAGAGCCACGGCTTCTTTCGGGCTTTACATTCTCTTAAACCTGCTTCCAGAAATCTTCTACTAGCTGTTTGAGCACTAACTGGTTTACTAAATTCATCCGAAAGGGTAGCTGCAAGGGTAGAAGAAGATTTTTTTGCGATCCTTAAGAAACTCGCGTATAAGTATTCAGTCTTCTCGTTTACTGATTAGACGCTTTCTTCCACTGTTAGATATTATATTGTGGGATTTCGTCTCCACAAATCGCCTGATTGCACATTGCAACGCGCACCGCGAACATCCCACCGAATTTTCAATCTCAACCTGACACCTACCTTTTTCACTTAGAACTTGAATTCTAACTCTATCATCGTAACTAATTTCACTTTTTTAGGCATTTCGGCAAATATGAACTGTTTTTGTAAGATTGGTAACTTTTCACTAAATGTAATTTACACTTTCTCTTTCAAATTTTAAGTGCGAAAATATTTATGAATTTCTTAAAATTGAAAATTTTTAGTTTTAGCTTACCCAGATTGCTATGACTTTTAATATTACACAATTTACTCGTTTAATCGACAGTTAAACACCCATGTAAGACATTTACAAAAAGAAAGGTAACTTCGATAGCCTCATTTGAGAATACTTGTATTTTAGTGGTGTGCCTAATACTTTTAGCCAATGCTGTATATTCGGGATATCTTGTTGACCTTGCACGATGCACGGATTGCAGAAATGCTATACTGAAATATGCCAGAGTTAAAGAACAGCCTATAACAAAACTGTTGCATATTTGATAGCAAATGACACAGCTAATTCGAGGTGTCAAACTCTTGCGAATAAAGAAAAGCTTTGAATTTGTTGTTGAAATGTCGCGTGCCTCCGAAAAAGAAAACTTAAATAATTTTATTATTGATTTAGATGATAACTATTTACTTGATTTCTGAAACTTTTAAAAATTTACTCTTACATGCATTTACTTTGCCACACGGGTTCAGGAGTAGCATATTTTGCAGCTATTGCATAAAATTTTAGGGTGTATATTATTGTTGCTGATTGCACGGATTGGATATTTGTCCATTCCGTGCACCGGGCATGAGTTAGAAACTCATGTTTTTGTATATTGGGATGATATTATTATCGTTACAAATAATTTTGGGAAATATTTAGCTAAATAAAGACACGTGTAATTTTTGTAGGTACGAGTTGAAATATTTGAGCTACGATGCATAACTTGCTGAGTATATCATATATAAACATACATATATAATTCGCCTCATAACAGCCTATGGATTTTTATGAGGAGCTTTTTTTATTTCATGTCAGAAGTGCGCTCGAAGGGCTTGATATTCCCTTCCGACTGCGGCCGCAATTAGAAAATTTAACTTAATTCTTTAATAACGAAACACAGTTCGCAGTAGCAGGTATGCAAACGTAGTGCCCCGAAAATTCTGAGTGAATTTTAAGTAATCGGTGGATTAGTTGTTGCTGAGAACAAACAAGAGAGTGAGAATGCATCAATACAGTATGAGCACATAATTGACGCCAAACAAAACAGCTTTCGTATTTTTCTGAAGCGTTGAAGAAAGCAGCGAAGTAAGCAACAATAACGAAATTGCGAGGAGTAGCAGAAGTAGCCATTATCAGCAGCAGCGAAAAGCAGAGAAAGAGCAATCAAAGTGAAGCAGAAACTATAAATACCAATACGTTAAGGTATGGTCGATGGGGTGAGATATTTTTAAAGATCTACCGCATAACTACTTTGAATTTTCCGTGTTTATTGGACACTGGTATAAGAAAATCGTGGAGAATAAATATTTGGATTACTAACACCAAAGTTGAAGCCGAGTTGACACATTTAATTGAAACGCAAAGAAGCGAGATAGAAACGCTTATAAGGAATTACAACCCTAAGATGAAACATAGTTCGCCAATAGAAATGAAAATTTGTTTGTTGGATGATGCATCTGTATACGAGGTATGTTCAAAAAATATCGCGAATTTTGTGTTTTTTTCAAAAATTATTTATTTATTCATTAATATCTATTTTGTCCCCTTCATAGTAATCCCCATGAGATATTATACACTTATTCCAACGGTTTTTTTTATCTTGTTCAGCTCCTCCTTCGATGCCGTCTTTATCTCGTCTATCGCAGTGTAACGTCGTCCTTTCATGGGCCCCTTCAGTTTGGGGAACAAGAAAAAGTCACAGGGGGCCAGATCTGGGGAATACGGTGGCTGCGGCGTTATTAGTGTGTTGTTTTTGGAAAAAAAGGCGGATTGCTTCGCGCAAATTGCGCATAAATTGCAGGTAATATTCCTTATTGACCGTTCTACC